ATATATAGCTATCTACAATGTATCCATTATTTTCTTTCTATAATATTGTGTGTACTAATTTTTTTTTGTACAAAAAAGTTAATTTCGCATTCTTTATTAAAACATGAAGTCTCTGTTTTCTAAACATTGTAATTTTAACTATAATACATCAAATGATTATAAAAAAACATGACAACAGTCTTAATTAAACATGCTTTTATTTCTTCAGAAGCGTAACGGTTGGGTTATTTCTAACATAAACAAATGTTTCTTAAAATATAGTTTAAAGCTACTAAGCCCTCTGAAAGTTATAAGAGCAAACAAGAGAGTCAGGTAACAATTTCCCTTAATGTTCTTGTGATAATTCTCCGTTAATTTTTTTTGTTGATAAAGCCACCAACCTTGTTACATCGTTCAAAATGTCATTAAATACAATGAATTGACTGTAGACCCATAGAAGTTATTCATATGTTGCCAAGAAAGCTAAAATATCTAAAATCTGGACATACTCCCAACAATTTCGAGAATAAAAAATGTGTCACATTTGTCAAGGTTTTCGATTTATATTTTAGAATAATCTCGCTTCAAGAAAGAACATTGATAGAACTCTCTTTATACCTGACAGGGCTACCGGGGAAAGTGCAGAAGCTACTTTGGCAGACAACCAATTGTGATTTCATATTATTTCTCATGAATTTTAAAGGTGTTTCTTTTTAATGAGAAAGAAATAAAGATTGATTCAAATCACGCAAATTTTTCTAGGTTCAAAATGATAAATCACTCCATGTGTTGAAATGAATGCTTCATGATATAATATAACGCTGAAGGTTGATATGTAACGTTCAGTAACGGATGAGGGTAGCAGAAACGTGTGTGTTTAAAACATACTGATAAATATTTTTAAAATAAGCTCTTAAAGGATATTTTAGTTGCTTCTATTTTAACTTCAAAAATTTTCAACTGACACGCAAAAATGCGTAGTTTCTTAATAGATTCAAACCTGTATAATAAACCCATTTATTACAGAAATGCAGTTATGTGTGAGAAATAGATTATTATATAGAGAAATTGCTTAAACGCTTAACTGTAGAAGAATTACTGTAAAAGGTAGTTTTTAATTATAGTTACCGATGAAATAAAAAAAATTGTGTGATGATAATTCTTTTATGCAATTTATTGCCGAAATAAAAGTTCACTTTGAACCAAAAGTTTAAAATTAAGAATGCAAAATGTTCAATATAAGTTTTACGTTACTGAGCAAAGTATTAAATTTATTGTGCAAAATGTTCACATCATGCATTGTGCTAAGTCTGCACTGTAAAAATTCCGGATTGAAAGTATTTGAATTCAGGTACCATTTAACTTAAAACCTTTTTTCAGCGTAAAATGTTATGTCACAAAATATCTGATATATCGCAATTTTTATATATACAGTAGAATTTACTGTAAAAGCACTGAATCACTGTAATTGAAGGAATATTACTGTAAAAACTAGGGTATAAAATTTTACGGTAATAGATTTTATAGTAAATTGGACTTTTCGAATAATGCAGCCTGGGTGCCAATACTTTTTACCTTAATTTGATGCAGAATTTTTTACAGGGTAGTTCACATTTTATTAAGCGTAAAATATCAAATTCAAAGTGAATATTATATTTTTATCAAATTCTTAAAGTACCAAGTTTATATGTTTGGGGTTTCAAGTTATTTGTACCAAGCAACACATAGTTTAAACTAAAATGTCATTCTTAAAGCTGTAGTGGTGTAACAACTTCTTAAATGAAGCAAGTCATCATTTGATAGTAAAAACCTTTTAATGGTAGTTTTACAAAGAGTAGTGGATAAAATCCAACAAAATGAAGAATCTCTTCATCACTTACGCCCCAACGTGACGCGAAAAGAATGCAAGAACAAATCATCTTGGCTTAAGTGGATTGATCATTTGTCAAGAGAAGAGGAGTCCTTTTTAATATTGTCACACCCGGCATTAGCTTTGTCTGAGATAGTTATTCTTGTTTGAAGACAGAACATTCTTGAAAGAATTCAGAAGCCAAGAAAAGAGGCAGGTAGTGTAGAATAGATGGGATTTTTTGACAACATTAATCACCTCATAGCTTTCTCACTTGAGATGATAGGGAGTTGGAGAAAAGGAAGCTAGAATTTCGAGCAAATAGCTTTTTTTCTATAGCTAGATAAAATCTCAACTGTCATAGCTGCCAAATTGGATTTGCACTTAGCAAATATTATGAAGAATGGAATAGTTATTCAATGGGTAAAAACTGTGCTTTGTTTTAAAAATATCACAGTTGTGAAAGGATTAAAATGTTCAGGAAAGAAATGTTTTTAAAATTCAGTGCAGTAGTTTCTAACAGCAAACTCTCAAAAAATTCTCAATTTGCATATCTTTATTAAAAGTGGCGCACTTTTTATAGTTTTTGACCAGGGCACTCAGTTTTCAGACTGAAAGTCATGTAGTTGTAATTATGAATTTTTAAAACATATTCAGTTTATATACTATAAAAAATTCCGACTCAAATTATGGTATAAAGTACTCGCGTTTTAAGAGCATCTTCCATAAAATCTATTTTACCATAAAATACATTTTTAACACAAATTGGTAAACAGTAATTTTTATATTAATATTTGCTTAATTAGAGTGATTCAGAGGCTTTACTATAATTCTGCAAAAATTACGGTATATCAGATTTTTTGTTCAGTAATATGTTCGGGTAAAAATAGATATTACGGTAATTTTCAAAGTGCACCTTTCACAGTTTTTGAATTAAGCAGAAAATTTTTAAATTTTATTTGTACTTAATACAGGGAAATATGAAGACTTCTTCAATTTATATAACTTTATCAAAAAATACGAAACGCCTTTAACAGATGTAGACTCTCAGGCACCCAATTTTCAGAGCAAAAATTGTAGTTTTGCATTGATTATAAGAGATGTATTTTTTTAAACCAGAGAATAATTTTATTACTATTTTTCCGACAAAAATGTTTATAGCTCAATGGACAAAATAATCATTGTAATAATTGGAAGATAAAAGAAATGTCGGAGAGATGGGAATCAGTGCCGATAATTTTTATAAATTTGCCGAAAACAAATGTTGATAATCATAATTTTGAACATACATAGTATTTTCGAAATTATAACTGACTTGAACGTTCATCTCCATTTTGATTGATAAGCAAGCTAATTTAGCATAATTAGTAAACTATTAAATATCTATAAAAATTTTTTTTTAAGTATACTTAAAAAAAATCACATTAGCCTC